TTCGCTTTCTTCGCTGCCACTTGTTCGCCGGTTGTCCTTGAAGCTGAGCCCGTCGACATCTAGTCGATTTTATGCTATCAGACTTCGATTTTGCGCAACTGGCTGTCGGCGCCGAAGCCCGTCGATGGCAAGGCCCGTTGATTTCACGCCAGCGACGCTTAATTCCCATCGATTTCATCCTACCCACCTCAGCCCGTCGATTTCAGCCTCTATCGATGACTTCCACGGATCATTGCTGACAAAGTCCCGTCGATTTCACCTTTCGATTCTTCGATACCTCCCGATAACATAGCCCATCGATCTCCTGCAACAACCAGTATAGTCGATGCCCAGCGCTTCTTATCAACACAACCTGTCGATTGACCCAGTTTGGTCGATGACCCAGCGACCCTTGTCAGCAACCATTCGATTGACGGGCTCCCACCTTCATCGACGAGCACTCCCGTAGCTCTTATCGATGACACCATCTCAATTGCCGGTCCATTTCGTGCCAACTGTTCACGATGAGGCCCGTCGATTTTTCTATCTATATACAGAGAGAGACACAGACACGATGTTTATATAATGTATATCTTCTCCCATGTACCTACCAAGTAGTAGCTGCCAAAACACTCTTTGTTTTAGTTACTAATACAAAAAGGTGTATGCTTTTTGCTTACAAGTGACACATGTGACTCACAGTTTGTTTCTTTAACTGCCTCGACGGTGATATATCTAGTCTCATAAAATGCTTTAAGGCCTCAAATTTGGTGAAACAACTTTTGCATCCTTAATTAAAATAAAAATAAAAAATAAAAAAAAACTTTTGCATCCTTAATCATTTCAACTAATGATATAGTTTAAGTATTTCGAATTTTTTATTTTTTATTTATTTATTTTTTTCTCTCTCTCAATTTGTAATCTTATAAGCACTCCCTTTTATCTAATGTTTATTACATCATATATCTTTATCATTCAACGTCATATGTGGACAAAAACATATCTCTTTAACTTTCCAAATTTCAAATGATCCAAGTGTGTCTTTGACTCTACATTTACCAGAACATTTGTGCAAGTCCCATTCGAGGACTGCCTTTCAAAATGTTCACCTCCTCTGTGGGGTCACTACTACATTACATATACGTGTTCTAATATTGCCTCTATCAACATAAACTGCTACTAATATCGTCACTCAAACAACTCATAGCATTTAATACACATGGTACAGTTAAATCACTCAATTTACAACTTTATATTAACTCTTCTTCTATGACTTTATAAAGTTTTAGCATTATATTATATTTGGTTCATTTGATGGATACACATTGACTTACCATACTTGCAGATCATTGAGAGCCCCTGGGCCTCGAATGCTCTAAAACTAAAGAAAATCTATCAACGAGCCCAACGCCTCGATCCGACTCACTTTGGACATCGAGCGCCCAACGCCTTTATCCCAGCGCCATGATTAGTCAATCGAAGGACCCAGAGCCTCAATCTGACTTGGACATCGAGCGTCCAGAGCCTCTGTCCTAATGCCTTGTTTAGTCAATCGACGGACCCAGAGTCTCGATTTGACTTGGACATCGAGCGCCCAGAGCCTCTGTCCCAACGCCTTGTTTAGTCAATCGACGGACCTAGAGCTTCGATCTGACTTGGACATCGAGCGCCCAGAGCCTCTATCCCAAGGCATTGTTTAGTCAATCAACGGACCCAGAGCCTCGATCTGACTTGGACATCGACCGCCCAGAGCCTCTGTCCCAACACCACAATTAGTCAATCGACGGACCCAGAGCCTCGATCTGACTTGGACATCGAGCGCGCAGAGCCTCTATCCCAACGCCACGATTTGTCAACCGACGAACCCAGAGCCTTGATTTGACTTAGACATCAAGCGCTCAAAGTCTCTGTCCCAACGCCTTGTTTAGTCAATCGACTGACCCAGAGCCTCGATCTGACTTGGACATCAAGGCAGAGCCTCTGTCCCAACGTCTTGTTTAGTCAATCGACGGACCCAGAGCCTCGATCTGACTCGGACATCGAGCGCCCAAAACCTCTATCCCAATGCCTTGATTAGTCAATCGACAGACCCAGAGCCTTGATCTGACTTGGACATCGAGCACCCCAAAGCCTCTGTCCCAACGCCTTGTTTAGTCAATCGATGGGCCCAGAGCCTCAATCTGACTTGGACATCGAGCGCCCAGAGCCTCTGTCCTAACGCCACGATTTGTCAATCGACGAACCCAGAGCCTCGATTTGACTTGGACATCGAGGGGCCAGAGCCTCTGTCCCAACGCCATGATTAGTCAATCGACAGACCCAGAGCCTCGATCTGACTTGGACATCGAGAGCCCAGAGCCTCTGTCCCAACGTCTTGTTTAGTCAATCAACGAACCCAAAGCCTCGATCTGACTTGGACATCGAGCGCCCAGAGCCTCTGTCCCAACGCCTTGATTAGTCAATTGACGGACCCAGAGCCTCGATCTGACTTGGACATCGAGCGCCCAGAGCCTCTGTCCCAACGCCTTGATTAGTCAATCGACGGACCCAGAGCCTAGATTTGACTTGGACATCGAGCGCCCAGAGCCTCTGTCCCAACGCCACGATTTGTCAGTCTATGGACCCAGAGTCACAATTTTATTTTTTCCTTTAGGAATCTCGAAAGATTTCTCATTTTCTTTTACGATTACAACACATCATTCTATGCCCGACTAACATTCTACTTTCTACGAAGCTCACTCGCGCGGGGGGACTACCATACTGTTAGTACCGGTATATTTGCGGTCCACATAATAGCAACATATCATCCACAGATGGCCATAACCTCGACATAGAATCAAGCCCGAAATCATCGAGCAACCCAGAGCCTTGAATGAGCTATCATAAAAGTTAATCAAGTGACCTAGGGCATCAATCAGACTTCACCATTCGAAGTCCATCGAGCAACCAAGTCCCGAACTGTCACTAGCCGATCGACGGACTCCTCCTCGATCCAACTTCCATCGAGCGACCCAGAGCCTCAGACTTAACTCAAGTCCATCAAGTGACCTAGTCCCAAACTGTCACTAGTCGATCGATGGACTCCTCCTTGATCCGACTCCCATCGAGCGACTCAGAACACTTACCCAAGATGAAATGCCTCATCTGAGGACACACCTTACTGCTTAAAACTTTTTCTCATAATTTTTTTTTCTTCCTTCTAAGAATCTCAAAATATTCTCCCTTTGTTTATACAATGAACATCATTTTATGCACGACTAACCTTTACCTTTCTACGAAGCTCACTCGCGCAAGGGGGCTAATGTTGATACCTATATTTCGAGTCCACATGGTAAACGCCACATCATCAACAATGGCTCACACAGCTTGGTTAAAACGGTCAACGAGCTACGCCACATCAGTAGCGATGGCCCACATAACCTAGTCAACGGTCAAAGTTGCCACGGCATCAACATGCTTTGAATAGAAGAACGAAGACCTGAGTTGGGAGCATGACTCAGGATTCCTTGGGATCTGAGGAGGTTTTGGTTTGGTGGCTGAAATCCAAGGTTCGCCGAGTCGACATTCGACCTGACTTGCAGAGAAAGATACCATTTTGACTCCCGAGCATTTGACTCCATCTTATTTAACATGGCTTTATAATTATTTGAGAAATTAATCTCTTTTAATTATTTTGTCAATGGACCCACATGTGATGTCATCAATGACATCACCCACCCTCACTTGGCCTATAAAAGGAAATGGCCTAAGGCCAAGAAAAGGGGGCAGACAAACAAGGAAGGAAAATTCCTCCTAGACCGAGAGCTCTAAGCTCTCTCTCTCTCTCTCTCTCTCTCAGAATGGGTTCTCTACACAACCCCTAAAGTATGGATCAAGGAGTCAATGGTGTTCACACATATATACTGCCATCTCTCTCTCTCTTGTTTACTTGGGCTTCCACCTTTCTCAATCCACCTTGGATTCCATCATGTTGCAAGATTTACCTCACCATTTGTTACTTTGTGATGATCTGGAACCCACCTGAAAATCAAGTACCTACAGAGACAACAATAGAAAATATACAAACAAGTATTAACATGCCTAATGTATGAAATATATGGCAAAGATGGGTCAGCTATTTCTCAACATATGAAATGAAGTGCCTCCCATTATTCTTTTTTGGCTTTTGTGCAGTTGTTTCGGGATGCCCTCTTGAGGGCTCTTTCAATGATATATACAAATAATTATAAATTTAAAATAAAATAAAAAAAAAAGTGCCTCCCATCGCCTCAAGACACTTAAACATGAAAGTGCGCCACCAAGTTTTTAGCTCAAATTGTACCTCCTCATCCACCCATATTGGTGATTTAACTAGAGTCCCCTTTGGTCTTTGCTGCATAGTGTGCTTTTGCATGCTACACTTATATATATATATATATATATATATATATATATATATATATATATATAATCCCTTGAAAGCTTGTTTGTGAACCCATCATAACAAAAGGAAAATTGGCTCACTTGGAGGAAAAATCTATCCCAATTCTCAAAGTTAACAAATTAATTGAGAAAACTATTTTTCATACATACGTTAATAGCATGAAAACTCGGATGTTTTGGGTTCGATTCCCACAAAACCCAAAAGTATCCGATTTAAATGACGTGTGGTTTGTCAGTGATTGCACATATTACAACCCATCCAAGAGTCTAAAGTGGCTAATGGGCGAGTTGATTCTTTGTTACACAAATAAAATAAAATAAATACACATGCACACTGATATATATGTGAAAAACAAAATTTAACAGTCTCTATTTACAATGTAGGAACTGACAGGGCAAGAACTGAAAATCGACAACACAAAAAGTTTGATCATTCAAGATTACAGGCATAATGCGCATGCACATCTATGATCCCAATCAAGGTCACTAGAACCCTAATTAGATAATTAAGTTTTAAGATGACTCTAATAAAAAGCAAATGCATAACACACGTGTATACATGAAGAAAAAGGAAGAGTTAAGTGCGAGAAAGAGCTCACCTTTGACGATTGAGTACTGAGAACCTTTGCAAGCCCTCTCTGTGTGTACTGTGTGTGTAGGTTTTTCCCTCTTCGTTGAATACCTCTCCCTCGAGAACAAATTAACCTCTCTGTTTCTCTCTCTAGAGAATCTCTCTCTCTCTCTCTCTATATATATATATCGAGGGAAGCAGTCTTTCTGTGTCATTGCGTCATCGGAGTCTCGGAGTGGTACGTCCCAACCAAGACTCCCTTTTCAGATTTTGGCGATATGCTTTGTAAATTTAGGTATACGACGTCGTTCTCATTGGGCTTATAGAATAAGGCCCAATTAGAAATTAAACCAGAGTGCTCGCCACTGCTAGTGGCCCAATTACAATGGAACAAATTTCGGCCGAGTCCCTCTCCATTCTAGTTTTAAAAATTACAAATCAAAATCCTTTTTTCAAATGTTTTATTCAAATATTTTAAAACTTATATTTTGGAATATCAATCAAATAAACATGCTTTCTAAATTTTACATAATTCTCTCAATAATAAAGATAATTTTGTATTTAATATAAGATTTAAGATTATATATTTTTTTGGATGTAAAAAAAGAAAAAAAAAATGATAAGGATTTAACTACCATGGACATTATTGTAGTTCGAATTCATGAGAGCTTAACACTGACATTTTACATAAATATAGGATTCAATCACATCAGCTAATAAAAAAAAAATTATAAAAAAAATTATTTCAAGCCTTTTCGTTAGTAAATGTGAACATTTTCATTACAAAATGATGTGATACACCATCATTTGTAGATTTGTATTATAATTAAGTGTGAGATTCTTAATATGTATTCCACTTATATAATGTACACGGTGTTGTTTATTGGACATGTTTTCCATTAAATCCATATTCAACCAAAAAGGAAAAAAATGGTGTGAAACTCTATTTTAATTGTTCAAATTTATTTTAATAATGTATTTTGTGCTTTCATAACTGAAACCACCGCATTGAACAGATAGAGTATTTTTAAGATGATTCACTATTAGCATTTGAATTGATTCCAAGTTGAAATTCATCTCAAAAATTGGTAAAGACCGCACTCAAACTCATAAATTAATCTCAAGCCATTATTTTAATATTCTATTATATCTTACACTTTTTATGCTTTTAAAAGTATAGAAGTTCGATTTTTGACTAATTGATATAATAATTGTTGAACCAAGGATTTTAGAAATTTAGATTAATTTTACATGTGTCTACTTGGAGTATTTTCACTCAAATCGAGGTTGTGTTAGCAGTTCTTTTATTTTATTTTTTATTCATCTTTTTTGAACTGGGAGTGGTATTGAATGTCTTAGAGCAATCAATAATCTAGGACTTACAAGGAATGACTACCCAAACATTTCATAAAATGCCCTAAGGCGATTCGAACTCCCGACATCCTCGCATTGAAGTGAAGATCTTTGCACCAGGGAATTGAGCCTGTTCTGTGTAGAAATCCAGAGAGAGAGTATTAAGGGCCGAGCTGTGGGAGGAAGAAAGAGTTTAAAGCACTTGTCTCCTCCTCTGGTACGTAAATTCTCGGAATTCAATTTATTTTTCTCACCTATTGAATTACATACACATACACTGTGTATATACCTGTAGATATTGCTTCGTAACTTGAAACGGAAAGAAAAAATTCACACCATTTCAAGAAATCAATCGATAGAAATTGTTGGTTAATTTATTCGTATCACACATGAACCAGAAAAACTCATTTTTACTGTTTCTTCCCTTAGATGGATGTCTACTGCCAGCTTTTGCTTCTTTCAAGTATTTGAATTGATTTAATTTGATATATATGTGTGTGTATATGCAAACATATGCTTGAATCAACTTGGGATAAGAGTCAAAATGAGGGACAACTTGAAAAATATATCGATGCGGAGGAGATTTAGCGGAGTATTATTTTTTTGTTCTACACAATTTGAGAAGTAGAATACTGTAACAAGAGTCAAAATGAGGGACAACACAGAAAAAAAATTAGATACTGTATTTCAAAGAGTGGCCTCAACCATTTACCAATGAACACAGGATATATATATATATATTATATAGAGAGAGAGACAGAGACAGAGACAGACAGAGAGAGAGTGGGGTTGCCTTCCTCCCAACATTCGCTCGAGGTCCTTGAGACTGACTCATATGCGGCATGCCAATTGTGAGTTTGTCTCTGTGGTTCCCTTAAATTCATTTACTCTATTTTACTTATCAAAAAAAAAAAAAAATCATTTACTCTATTTTTTTATTATTTTTTGTCCCTTTGTTGAATTGCTGTTATAGTTATTTGATTGAGACTAATATAATTGGTTTTCTGTTTTTTTTTTTTTTTTTTTTTTTTTTTGGTAATTTAATTGGTTTCTTTCTTTGTTGAATGGTTGTTTGCCCTAGTTATGCGAGGCCACATGATAATGTCATCTTAGTGAGGTTCTCTGAAAATTCAAAACGGAATAGGTTCTTGGGGTTTTTTTTTTTTGGCTGGAATTTAATTTTATTTATTTATTCTTTGGGGAAAAGTAAAGAATTTCATCAAAAACTCGAAGAACAAGAACAAATCTTATGGACATCCAACAAATCAGAACAAACAAGAAAAAACATGAGCAGCCAACCAATGGGCTGCAAAATTAAACTCCCTAGGAACATAATCAAGCCCACTATTCAGAATAGCTCTAAGGAGGTCTACGATTTCTTCCACAATAATTTGCACAGTCCAAGGAGCACAAACTTGACCATTAATTGCCTTAACCAAAGTGCTAGAATCACATTAAAAAATAATAGATTCAAAGCCCCAGTCAAGGACCGAGATCAAAGCTTGCCACAATGTCTCCACCTCAGCTGCAAGAGAGTCAGACATAAACAGCATCTAAATTTATTGGTTTTCTGTTTTCTATATAATTTAGTAAAGTTAGGTTCTATCTTCTTTCTCCAAATACTCATCATTTTTCACCAATTTACATAACCTATCAGGGATTTGTTAAGTTTGGTCCCCCTCCCCTCCCTCTTTTCCTGCTTTTGTCATAGTTCTGCTTTTCTTTTTGAACTTGTGCATTATAGGAATTAATAAAAATAGAGTATCAATTTTTATGTATGATGCATGTCTTTGTGATTATGTATTGCATTCTAAACAATGCATTTACTTGGAGCTTCATAGCGTATAATTGATTATTCCTACTCTTAAGGACACTACTGTGGCAGACTAACTAAATTGATTTCTTTTCTCGAGAGGTTAACTAAAGTGATTTTCTTATTGCTGATTGGTTTGCATGGCAGCTTCTATTCCAACACATCTTCAAATGAAATCCATCTATAATCACTTTGCACTTTTTATTTATTTATTTATTTAAACGGATTGCTTGTGTACATGTACTTCAAATAGTTGTTTACAATGTCAGTTCGCTACTTGCATACTTGTGTTTTTTTAAACTAGGACTTTTAACTTTTAGTTTTTGTTCTGTTTTGGGAGGTGAGATTATCATATGTTTTGAAGTAAGATACAATAACTTTGGTCCGTGGTTGATGTCTTCTATTCTTCAGGTGTGTGCGGATGGGAAGCTGATTAGCTGTTCACACAGGAGGAAAGCGAGCATTAAGATTCTATGTATGCAAACCACCTTCGAGTTAGCAAGACACCTTGGCTTACTCTCTCTAGCACTACTGTTCCAGGCACGATTACGAAGTCAAAGTTCCAATGAATGGCAAGTGCTCTGGCCGGGCATTTCTTTGAATCCATGGCACCTAGCAATCATTTGGTTTGGGTAGATATAGCGTTCCCTCTCGACTTTGGCTTCTTTCTTTTTTTTAACCATAATTTCACATTTTATATATTTATTTTTTGTTTATTCTTTATTAGCATAACTATTCTGGAAGCCAGCAAACAGGGTGCAGCATAGTACATGTACACCAGATCTCCCAAAAAATTAAGCTTTATAGGAAGAAGTCATACCTATCACCTATACAATTTACAAAAGAACCTAAAGAATTCAGAATGAACCAATAAGCCAAAAATAAACAGAGATTGTAAATATGCCTATTCCTCTCCTTCCGGCAAACCACATAAGATGGTGGCTTAAAGCTCTTAAAATATTAGTTCCCCTAGCCACACAATCCCCTTCTATCAGGGAAATTCAACATTACACAGACATGAAATCATCAAATTTGTGCATTTGAATGAATGTAGGTTGATTCATTGAGCATGTTTATTTAGCTTATTTCATGGTATGCCTCATCTCATTATCTAAACAGATTTGAATGAATTATTTTTTTGTCGTTCCTTATTTCTGCATAAACTAATGGAAGCAATGTTACAGCTGTGTTTTACCTTTCTCTTCAGCATCTCCGTGGTAATTCATCAGAGCTTGATATTGCCCAAGATTAAGGTCAGAGCTTGGAGATGATCCCCAAGAAGAGATTGGATGGGAAGAAGAAGCATTTAGATGCTGATTGTAGAAAGAAGATGAATGTGGGATCTGCTTGGAGCCTTGCACCAAAATGGTTTTGCCAAATGGCTATCAAGCAGTGTGCACCAATTGCTACTGTGATTGGTAAAAGTAAATCTCTTTCTTTCTTTCTTTCTTTCTTTGTAGCGCAAGACTTTGTATTGCTTTTTAAGAATTACAATGACAAGCTTGTTTGCATTGGCTAACCCAAAAAACAATGAACCAACTTCTTTTAAGAGCACCTGAGAGTTGAATTATATTAACAAAGAAACTAAATATATTCTTTTGGAAGATCCTTTGCTCTTTATCTTCATTGCGGTGTTAAATGTTTTCTGATTTTTCTGATATATACTGCCCTGGCTTGTACAACTTCTCATACCAACTAATACATGGAATTGCATCAGTATTATATTGTCATCAACCAGTGATGAAGCATACGAATTTACTGATATTATAATAACCTTTACTTGCAGGAGAATATAGACAAGAATGTGAGCCCCTCTTCGATTTTGAGCTATAAAAGTGGTTTTCAAGAACAGGAAACATAAAATTATTTCGAGAGAGCAGAAAAGAGTGTTCTCTAAAATTATATATATTTTTTACCCTGTTCCTAGAGAACAGTTTCCTGAAAACGCTCAATCAAGTGAAATTTTGAAATATTTTCTATTTCTATTTCTGCGAACAGAAAACACAAACACACACACAAAACACAAAAACCGGCC